GCTTCTGTTGTATCGAAATCTAGTGCCCCGTCTGTCCTCAGGTTGCGCCCTTCCACGCTCGAGCCTCTGCGCTCGTTTTCCTGCCGCCGCTAGCTCTTCCCTGCAGTTCCCAACCCGGGGCGTCGTTGCTCTCGGCAGGTTAGTCCTTTGCTAGTTTCTCTTCCCATTCCTCCTGATTTCTCTGTCGTGCACAAATTGACTCTATACAAGCTCTTAAGTGATAGGAAGTTATTCGGGACCCACCGGTTCCGACACATTCCCCCCACTCATTTGCAATGTCCTCATCGCGCACTAGTCCATAGTCAGTAGGAGATTTAGAGAGATAGACAGGGGGGAAAAGTGGGTTACGACGGGTGGTTAGCTTGCCAGGATCCTCTTTGTCTTCTCTTGCTTCTTTCTCAGGCCTCCCTTACTTTTCCTATCTCATTCACGGCTATGGCATTCTCCCATTCTTCCCTTTCTCATTCATTACGGGAAGTACATCAGGCTCTTTCTTTATTCATTACGCGAAGTACATCGGACCCTCTCTTCTCTCATTCATTACGCGAAGTACATCAGGCCCTCTCTTCTATCATTCATTACGCGAAGTACATCAGACCCTTTTCTACTCTCCCCCCACTCGTACGCAAAACTCTCCTCTCTCCTGCCCTGGTGCCCGCCTCTGGGTTCAAAATTTTCATGCTTCTTCGTCCCTCGGTACTTCTGGCCCCCCTTTTTCCATTTGAGGTCGTTTTGTTGGACCTTTTCAGTCTTACGAGGCAGGTCCAGTTTTCTTTTACATATGTTCCTTGTCATATTCTTATTCCGACTTTTTCATGCATGTTTCTTATGGACATTACGCACACTTTTCACTGGCCGCTCGTTAGTTTTTCTCAGGTCCAACTTAACCATTTCCAAGGCGTTTTTCCCCAATCATTTTGCCAGACTCTTTTGTGGCCCAGCTCAACCATTTCTAAAGCAATTTTCATAATCATCTCGCCAGACCCTCTTGTGACCCAGGTCAACCTTTTCCAAAGCAATTTCCGTAATCATCTTGCCAGACTCTCCTTTGGCCCAGCTCAACCATTTCCAAAGCCAAACCATTTCCAAAGCCATTTCCACAATTATCTTGCCAGACTCTCGTTTGGCCCAGCTCACCCATTTCCAAAACCATTTCCACAGTTATCTTGCCAGGCTCCCGTTTGGCCTAGCTCAACCATTTCGAGGCATTTTCTTGCCCGCTTATCCTTGGTTTTCGATTCATTTACACGCTTTGTCTTTAGGTAGATGACACACCTTCCCCCCACTCAATCGCGATGTCCCCATCGCGTCTTTGGTTCTCACTTGGAGGCACACAGACCTTGCCTGCCAACTGAGTAAGCGGGTGTCGGCCCATCAGCCCCTAAAAGGAAGGGTGATCGGTCATTTCCCTGCTGATAACTCACCTCACCCCTTACCCTAGTCCGACGACCACTAGCTTGCAGATGGGCATCAGCATTGAGGTGCCTCCTGGCATCCGTAAGGCAGGTCTAGTCCCTACCTCCCAAGATCCCATCGTGCCCAAAAGTGGCTCCCTCGCGACTGGTCCCTCCCAAGTGGTAAATTTTTGTGGATCCGGCCTCTCCCATTTCAAGAGAGTTGGGGCTCTCTTTTAGTCTGCGAGTGCAGTTACGAAGACCTCGCGGTGTCAATGCCCCATGGTGGTTGCGGCTCCACCCGGTACCTCGCCAGACCTTCCCCGTGGACGTGCCCCTCAACTTAGCGCGAGTGGCCTAGGTCCTTTCCCAAACGGCCAGGCTGCCCCTCAACAGCGTAGCGTGTGGTTGGAGAGAGTCATAAAGACTTAGAAGAGCAACTGTCCGGCCCATCTTGGCGCCCAGGATTTTTAGGAACTCGACATGAGGCACAATTCGAACCCTTCGGCTAGAGCTTATTGCCGGAGCTGGTTCCGGATGTGCAGTATCGTATTGATGCCTTGATCCTTTAACCTGTTTTCCTGCTTATGAGGAATAGGTCGCGCTTGGGCATTTCCTTAAAGGAAAGCGGTCGTGGGGTCGTTGTGCGAGCACCGCTTTCCCCCTCATATCGGGCCCTGAGACTAGAAAAAGGTTGGAAGGCTCAGTCTCTTGCTATTTCCAGGGTTGGCCCGACGACCTTTCATCTTTTGCCTAGGGTCCCTTATGTATGCAATGCAATTTCCAATTCTCAAGCAAACATCAAATTCCAAGCTTTTTCCAAGTCTTTCACAAGGCTGATTCTCATGGCTGATCCGGCAGCGTCTTTTCAATCAAAGGCGGCCTTCTCTTCTCATGGCTGATCCATCTGCCGCTTTCCTTTTCTCATGGCTGGTCCGACAGCCTTCCTTCTCAACTCATCTTGTTTCAATGACCGTCCCGACGGTCTCTTTCCCAACTTCCTTTTCTCAATCTCTTTATTTCGATGACCGAACCGACGGCCTCTTTCTCAAGTCCTCCGCTTCAATGACCGTCCCGACGGTCTCTTTCCCAACTTCCTTTTCTCAATGTCTTTATTTCGATGGCCGAGCCGACGGCCTCTTTCTCAAGTCCTCCGCTTCAATGACCGTCCCGACGGTCTTTTTCCCAACTTCCTTTTCTCAATCTCTTTATTTTGATGGCCGAGCCGATGGCCTCTTTCTCAAGTCCTCCGCTTCAATGACCGTCCCGACGGTCTCTTTCCCAACCTCCCTTTTCTCAATCTCTTTATTTCAATGGCCGAGCCGACGACCTCTTTCTCAAGTCCTCCGCTTCAATGACCATCCCGACGGTCTCTTTCCCAACCTCCCTATTTCAATGGTTGACCCGACGACCTTCTTCTCAATATGTTCATTTCAATGGCCGGCCCGACGGCCTTTTCTCAATGTGTCCATTTCAATGATCGACCCGACGACCCTTTCTCAATATGTCCATTTCAATGACCGGCCCGACGGCCCTTTCTCAATATGTCCATTTCAATGGCCGACCTGACGGCCCTTTCTCAATATGTCCATTTCAATGGCCGACCCGACGGCCCTTTCTCAATATGTCCACTTCAATGGCCGACCCGACGACCCTTTTCTTACTCATTCATAAGGCAGCCAATCCACAAACAATCATGCAAAGGGACCCCAGTGCCCATTTCCAAAGAGGCAACCCTTGTTAGGGGTCATCTCCGAACAACCTGGTTAGGGTCGTTCTTCTTTTCCAATCTCATCCTTGAACAGCCTGGTTAGGGTTATTCCTTTTCCAAATCTCATCCTTAAATAGCCTGGTTAGGGTCATTCCTTTTCCAAATCTGATCTTTGAATAACCTGGTTAGGGCCATTCATTTTCCAATTCCAGTCCTGATGCCCGAGGGGGTGGGCTTTGGGAGGCTCAACTCCGATTATCAATTGGGGGGTTAAGTGGTGGCCATTGGTTTCCAACGTGCTCTCTCTTCAGGTTTTTCTTATCAAACATTTTTTGCTTATCCTTTCCATTCACATGCATCCGCCTTAGCGTCTAGCGTGCAGGCGGGGACATCCAACTTTTGGCAACGCTAGCCCGCCCGACCGTTCAACCATAGACCCAGTGTCTCACATACTTTGCTTGTTTTACTTTCATGTCTTGTCAACATGGCGTTAACTCGGTTGGATCAGGCTCCTAGGGGAAAGCATTGCCATGCCGTTCTACCCATAGGTTCCCTAACCTTTCTGACAATGTACAACCTGATCCTCACACATGTGAACATACACTTTTGAGAACTTTTGCAACCAATCACATTTCAAGTCCCATGTCCATCCATTACAAGCAGTCTCATGGCTCCCGAGAAAAAAGATAACTTTACTTAAAGAAACAACACTCGGTGCTCATGTCTTAATTGATTTCCCGTCCTGTATTACAAAATTGAAATCGAAAAGTAGCTTCATACAAAAGGTTGCTCTTTCCCTCTTATCTCATCCCATCTCGTGCCTGTTGACAAGTTCCAATCTAACAGATGTCTCTACATACCACGACTTGGCATACTTGTCTCATCCGGTCCCTTTCAAAAGTTTTTTAGCAGAATCACAACAAAAAGAAAAAAAGTCCAGTTCATCTAGTCTACAAATCTCATGCCTTTCACGACCCAACCGATTATCCCAATTCTGGCCGCCCTTTGCTCTTACCCTCACGTTCCCTTGCCAACCCATCCTTAATCCCTAGCACTTGAATCTGTCCTTTGGCGTTTAGCCCCTTTCTCGTTGTTATCCCTCGAGGGTGGCTCCATGCCCAACCCATAAGTCTGAATCTCATATCTCTTTTCCTTTGCCAACTGCAGATCCTTTTCAGTGAAGAAGTCCAACGGCGTAGGTGTTCTCCCGACCGCCATCAACTTTTGTGCTTTAATTATCCACTCGTGCTTAACCACACTTGCCCATTGCTCAAACCAGTGACTGGGCATTGGCCCGAATTCTTCCTCCCAATTGGTGGCTCCTTTATCCGGGCTTTTTGCCGGAGACTGCCTTTCCTCCCTTGGCCTCGATATCTCATCCATCTCGTCCTCACTGCTTATCGCAATGACTTCCTGAACGTCATCTTCCGGATCACTGTCCTCTCCTTCCTGCCCTTCCTCGTCAGGATTGGTTTGCTTAGTTTCTTCCCCCTTCCCCTCCATTCCCTGTTCATCCTCCTCTTCTGATCAGGCGGGTAGTACCTCGCCTTCCTTGGTAGGCGAGGGTTTACAGGCAGACAACTTCCTCTTTCTTTTCCCTAGTGGTGCTTTTGGCTGTGGCCCAATAACCAGCACCGGTCTTTGTCTATCTCGCGGTCTGTCTGGCTGCCTCCACGGATCCTCACAAGCGGCGTTTGCCTGGTTAATGTCATTCTCGTTATTGAACTCCATCTTGCTAGGGCTGTTTTCTGTGCCTGTAATCAATATCAACAGAGAAAAGGAAAGGCCCCAATGCACCCCCATTGTGGAGCCCTCCCCAAGCCCAGTCTTGTCTCATCCTTATGGCCACATGGTTCCCCAAACACGTGGTCCCATCCCAAGTCTTGGTCACATGCGCCCCCAAGCCTTGTTTATCCCATTGGGTAATCACGACATCTTGCTCTCAGAGATCTCCTCGTCCCCACCCTTATGATACAATGCCCAGCCCTTGGCATCCATCCCCAGTGTCCCCACAAAAACTATGGTACAGTGTCCCAAGTGGATCCCATGTCCTTTCCATGCACACACACACGAAAGAAAGGAAGACAACAAAGGCAAAGGGAAACACATGTGATAAGTAGAATCCTTGTTGTTGGACTGAGCGGCCTATTCTTCTGCTTCCTTGTCCTGAGCTTCTTGCAACCATTGCGCCACCGGATCTTTGCTGAGGAATCTGACCAGCCGCTGTTCAGGGAACGACCCTTTTATGCTGGTCCCATTCAAGTCCTCAACCTCAAAGGTGTTCATTCCCAGCCTCTTAGTGACACGATGGGGCCCCTTGAATCTTCGCCCTAGCTGTCCTGACCATGTGCTTTCTAGTGCCGAATTCCTGACCAGAACCATTTCCCCCACTTGCAATGACTCCTTCCTGATATTTTTCAATTGGTCCCACCTGGTCTTATCCTTCATCCGACTATCGAAGACCCTGTTCACAATTTCTTCCAAGGCTTCCTCATTTTTAGCCGCCTGCTCGCATCTAGCCTCGATCGATTGTTCCGTAGTCAGATGAGGGTCCTCCAATTTGTTCCATGTGGGTACTAGGGTTTCTATCGGGAAGTCGATTTCCCTTCCATACCATAATTCTGCTGGGACACATCCCGTGGTCATCTTAGGAGTCACGTTCTCAGCGAACACAACTTGCCTGAGGTACTCGGGCCAATTCCCGAGATCGTCTGCTGCCAACTTCGCAATCATGTTCTTGAGCGTCTGGTGCCCTCTTTCTACCGGCGCGTTAGCCTCCGGGTGGTATGGTTCAATCAGCTTGAGGGGCACCCCTAGCCTCTTGCATGTGTTCAGGACATCTTGATTTACGAACTCAGTCCCATTGTCGGCTATAAACCTCCTGATGAACGGGTGCCTCAGGTAGAAATCTTCAACCCAATCGGCCACTGCCAGCCCTCTTTTCTTCTTTAATGCCACGGCCTCCACAAACCCGCTAAGGTTGTCCCTAGCATTGGGTATGTACCTGTACCCCTTTGTCGATACTGGCATAACTACCAGATCGAGGTGCACCATATGCCTTGGCCCCAGCACTCGCGTGGGCCTGAGAGGCTCAAACACCCGCGTCGTACCCCGCTCTTGGCAGATTCGGCAGGTCTGACAGTATATGGCAACCATGGAGCCCATTCCCAGCCATTAATAGAGTGGTATTATTTTGGCTAGGGTACCCTTTGAGGACCGATGCTCACCGGCCAACCCATCATGCATCGCCGATATTATGTCTACCTGTCTCATCCTCCCGCATACTACTCTCCTGGGTGTCAAGCCCTCCTCTTTCCGGAACAAGTGCCCTCTCCTTAGCACATACTTGTCTGCCTCTTCCCTAGCTTTAGGACTGACTTCGTGGTCATCCTTGTTTCCTATCAACAGCAACCCAATCTCCCTAAAAATACCATCGTACGACTTGATGAAAAAGAACTCCTCCTCCTGCCGGGAGCCCGGCTGAGCGTCGCACATTTGGCTAACCTCGTACTGTTGCTTTTCCTGTTCCCATGACTCAACCACGCTCATCACCCTTCTCCACCCGCCTTCTATGGCTAGTGCCATCCGTTCTTCCCAAGGCCCCACAATACTACCCCAAGCGTCCTTCTCCTCCTTTCATCCAACCCTGGTGACCACCCCTTCTTTGAGTTCTGCTACCACCGTGGAAGACCCTTTCTCTAACGCTTTGATCAACAATTCTCCGGTCGTGCAGGCAGTCCCAGCCATCTCATTATCCACCACCAGAGTCCCTCCCTCGTGATCGAGGAATGCATCGATCGGCTCTACTTCTTCTAGTCCCTCCGGCGTAAGGCTCACCCTGCTCAGGCCGTCTGCTCGATTCCTAAGACCAGCTATGCGCTCAATCTCATAGTCAAATTGCCAAATGAACCCTACCCATCTCCCCACGGTGGGATCGATAGGCCTTTAGTTCTTTAAGGCTCCCACGACATTGGTCGGATCTATCCTCAAGATGAATCTTCTCCCAAAGCGATACGTCTGGAAAGTCTTGAGGCAGTGGAGTATCGCAAGCACCTCCTTCTTGAACTGAGAATAGCGACGCTCGGATGAGTTGAGCGTTCTACTCTCGAATCTAATGGGACGCTCTCTCCCATCTTCGCCTTTCTGGATCAATACCCCACCTACGGCTAACGGTCCCCCATCGGTTTCAAGCACTAAGGGGCGTCCTACTTCGTCATTGAAGCACGGGGCGGCAAGGGTAACTTCTTCGGATGTCAGTATCTTCTTCAAGGTCTGGACGGCCGCCTCCTGGTCCTTGGTCCAGTCAAGCGTGCCTTCCTCGCGGATCATGGCCCGAATAGGTTCTGCTATCTTTGCGAACCCCTTTATAAAGATTCTCCAGAAGCCTACGACGCCCAGGAAGACCCTCACTTCTGTTGTGGTTCGGAGGGGTGTAGGCCATTGAGCAATTTTGTCAGTCTTAACTGGGTCCAGCATCCTTCCGTAAGCTCCACAACGGAACCCCAAAATGGTGACTTCCGGAACTGCCAGGATACTCTTTGGACCGCTAGCAGTTATATTATACTCTAGGAACCTCCGAAGCAACTTTTTGATATCCTGTAGGTGGTCCCACATGAACTTTCTCACTCCTGGCTGAACCTCCGTCTCATTCTTTTCACGTGCCTCTTTTACGGGATTGTCATTGATATAGGGCTTGCACTTCGCAGGAAACATGTTCCCTGCAACCGCAAGCATCCTCCTTTGCGCTTCTGCTACTGCGTTGGTAAAACCCATGGGCGTGACCTGCATTTGCAACTGGCCTACTGGCGTATGCATAGCCATGCAGGGTCTATCTCGGGCATCCAGCGGAAGCTGATCGTACCCCGAGTATAGATCTATCAACGAGTAAATGCCACGTCCGGCATGGGATTCAGCCAGGAGGTCCGCTTGGGGTAGCGACCCCGCGTCTCGGATGGTGACGGCGTTTAACTTCTGCAAATCCTGGATCCACCTTAGGGACTGGTTGGGCTTTCGAAATACGAACCATTTGTTGGCGTATGGCGATGCGGTAGGCTCCGCCACAAAAGAGTCCATCTTTGCCCTTAGGAGCTCTGTTACCTCCCCCGCGATTCCGAAGTCATAGGCGGGCCCTTTGTCATTCCAACACTCATGCTCAACCGTGTGGATTCTGACTGGCGGAATCAACTTTGCATCTAGCCGCCCCTTCTGGTGGTCATTAAAGGCGAAGGCTAAGTGGAACTCTTGGCATGCCTCCTCGATTACCCTTGTCTCCCGTTCCGTCAGGAACCCTTCCATGCCTATCTTCATGGTCTGTGCTACTTCGTCCGGTATCCTATGCCCCTCGGCTGCCCTTCTTTCCTTGATTACCCGAAGGACTTTTTCCTCCTTCTCCATGGCTTTCTCCTTAGTCATTTCTAGCAAGATCGAGACTGACTTCGCCTTTTTCCCTACTGGTTTATATTTGCGAACGCTTCCTTCCGGGATTTTCTTCTAAAAAATAAACCGTCGGGGCTGCCTGCACTACTTCCGCAATCCGAGGCTGGATGCTAACTAACTCACCGTTCAGACAGTAGCCTTTTCGAACTTCTTCCTCAAACCTGGAGAGAGAGGCGGTGTCAACTCCTACCTTGTGATACCTGATCGCCTTGATTAGGTGGAGCAGGTCCGGAATTTTCAGTGCTATCCTGGTGCCTTCGCCTCGGGCCTCTTCGCGCTTCGGCAGGCTCGCTCCCAGTTCCACTTCTGTTTCCTTTTCCACTACCATGACTCCTAGGGCATCTTCATCCGGCCTCCACTTTTTCTGTGGGAGCCCCATCTTGACCCACTCCTTCTTGCTGAATGCCTCTTCTATCATTATTTCCACCCTCTCTCTCATTCCTTCCATTCGCGCGAAAGCCCCCTTTCTAGCGCTCTCCTCGAAGGAAGGCGACTAGGTTGCCAATTTCCCTTTAGGCGTGTCTCCCCCAGTTTCGATGAGGCGGAGCAACTCGCCGCGTCCCGTTACTGGGTCCTCTATGCCCACCATATATGCCCCATCATGGAGATGTATGCCTATCATTTCCACATTTGCACACCACGGTCTTCCGAGGATTATGTCATGGTCCATTTCGTCCATGACGGTCATCCGTTGGAACGACCATATAGACTCCCTGACCCCAACTTTGACCGCGCATTTGGTGACATACCCGGAGAAGGGGATTTCCCCGCCAGCTCCCCGGACACTCCTAGTAGTTTCCCTGTTTATCGGGCACCCGACGATCGTCGCGAAGTCCTTTCGTATGAGCGTGATCTCAGCCCCGCCGTCTACTAGCGCATCCGTATGGTGGCAACCGATCTGAACCCATAGCTTGCCTACCGGTAATGCGTAAAAGCTTAACTTCGTACCGGGAGGGGCCCTCATGACTTAGCCTCCCTCCCGATCTGGCAGGCTCAGCTGAATGTCCGCAAAAACTTTTTCCAAGTCCTCTAGGTTGTCGGGGACCCTCTGGAAGTTTGCGACTTCTTGCGGTGTTTCTTCTTGCTTGTCTTCTTCCCGGTGCCCTGGTTCCTCCTCTACTTCGACCCTTTGCCTTGTTAATAGGTGCCTGAGTCCCTTGAGAAGTCTAGGGCTAGCCTGCAACATCGTCTGGAATGATACCGACACCATGGTCCCTAACAATTTACTAAGGGTGTCATCGATCTCCGGCGTGGCGAGGATGGGTATCTGGTACCGGAACTTCTTTTTTGTCGTTGTTGCCTTATCGACGGGGTCATCCCTAGGTTTCCCATAAGCTCTGTCCTGATCCGACTCTGTTACTCCTGGTGACATACTCGGTCCTTCCTGCGCATCCTCCATGATCGCATCTTGCACGACCTTTTTTGCGGCGGTCCATTGCCTAGTGGTCACGTTAACCCTATCCCGTTCATCGCTTTCCATGATGAAATTGGCCTGGGGCCCTCGTCCCTGCGCCTGCCCCCAAGTGAGTTCTGCCACAGGCTCAACTTCTACTACAACGGCGTCTAGGTTGTTGAATGCGATCACGGTCGTACGGATTCCTCCTGGCGAATTCCAATTTATTCTCTCCCCCCGAGGTCCTAAAATTTCTCCGTGTAGGGTTCTGGAGCACCGTTTAAGCATGATATCATGGTTAAGTCTCGGGCACATCCTTACGAAGTGTCCGATCAGCGTGCAATATTTGCACTGCTCGTTGGCCGGGTCCCTTCGGTTGTTCCCACGGTTGGCTATACCTGCGGGCGCGATCGTTTCTTGAGGCGGGAGGGGAGGCCGCACTGCCTGGCTCTGCGAGACCTGGGCTTGCATTACCATCAGGGCGTTCTCTACTCTCTCGATTTTCCCGTCTACCCCATGAACGCACTCATGCAGACTTTCGATCCCTCTCTTTATCTTATCACCCGTCTTGCCCGTTAGGTCTATGACTTCCCCTTCCTTTAACAGGGCCAGTGAGTCGGTTACGACCATTTTCTCCGCAATGTCGGTTATCGTGCTGAAGTCAACATCCCTCGTGTTCAGGAATTTTGTTGTTTGCTGGTAGGCTGACAGGATTTTGTCCTTATCGAACTTTGTGAACTGTCTTAGGAAATACTTGCTCATTATTCGATCGGTCACCCCGGGGATGCACAGCGCTACGATAGTAAGCTCTCTCAGGAAGTCATTGTACGTTGCGAAGTCCTTTCTTTGCACAATGGCCAATTCTGCTTTCGTGGCCATCTTCTCGACTGCCAAGTACTTTCTCATCATCACGTCTCGAGCCTCCTTCCACGACCCACTCGTGGCGACAATTGCCATTATGTCCCTCCCTAGGTTCAACGACACGTGCTGCCCTAAGTGCTCCATCTTCTCTTCCTTGCTCCACCTCAGGAGTGCCGCCAAGTTCTCATAATCTATCAGGAACTTAGTGATGTTTTCTCCGTCAAAGGTCAGTTTCTTCTTAGCGTCGGCCAAGTATCCCTGATTTTTGCTTAACGCGCAGGTGAGAGATGACACGACTTTCCTAAGCCCTCCTTCGACCATTCCTGACCCTGCCGCCGATCCGGCCCCCAAATCTTCCTTGCTTGTGTCTGGTCTTCCTCTCGTCCTCGCAGTCCCTTCCGGATCAAACCACCCCAGCACTCTCTCCCGATTCCAGAGTCCCTCGCACCCCCTAGCGATTGCCGGGAACGCCGAAGGTCAGCTCGCGCCACTATCCAAGAGAGGCGGGTTGATAGGTCTCTCTACGTCGCTTCCGGGAGAGTCCGCTTTTTCCTTCTCTTTCCTCGTTGGGGTCCCCTTGGGATCCTTGACCCGATCCTTCCTCTGTTGTATGTTCGCGTCCTGGCCCCCTTTCCCTTGACTTGCCTCCTCTTCCTCTCGTATCCTTCCGCCAACCGAGTTCCTCTCGCTCTCGTTCATTATTTCTTCCAGTAATTTTGCCCTAAATTATGCCGTCCTCCTTTCTATTTCTGCCAGCCTCTTCCGCGTATATGTCAGTCTTACCTTCTTATGTTTCGCGCCTTCCAGGTGCTGGCGCGTTGGGCTGCCTTTGTCTCTAACCTCCTTAGTTTCCTGCCTCGCTTGCTTCCTCCGCCCTTCCCCGAGCTTCCACCGGGGACGATTTCCTTACTCCCTTCTCTAGCCCCTGGCGACTTTGTTGACTCCCGGTCCCCTAAGGCGTCCTCTTCCCGCTCTACATCTTCGTCTACACCCTGGTTCTCGTCGTCCTGCTGACTTCCGGCACCCTCGCCCGTTGCCATTTCTTCCTCTCTCTAGCCCTGTATATGGAAAAAAAAAATTTCCGACACGACAGGTAGGTCTCAACCTTCAGGGTTCTCTTAACCCCCATATTCTTTCTCACCCGCAATCTCCCCTTTTTCTTCTTACCACATCATTTTCATGGTTTCCTTACTTATTATGAAACTCCACTTATTCCTTCGTACCGACTCTAATGGCCATGGCTGGTGTTCTCGGTCTGCCTCTCCCCTGTTTCGAGGACGGGGCCTTCAAGGTGGGTAGGCTTTCCCACCCCTGTGGTCGGGCCTCCTCCTTCTTTTGTTCACCCCCCGCATTTCTTCGCCCTTTTGGTCGATGTGTCCATCCTTATCCTTCCTACCACACCCCTGGTCGAGAAAGGACTCTGGCCGCTGCCTTTTTGCCGGCTTATTAGCCTCCGCCGTTCCTTTTGAAAGACCTTATCCCTGCTGCCTTCCCCGGCGTTTTGCTCACACCGGCTCCTCAGGCCCACCCTCTTCGTCTGGCTCTTCGAACAACCTCGCCACTCCCGCAAGGTAGTTCTCCCCCATGTCAATTTCCTTAATGATTATTGGCTCATATTCCTCGAAGGATAGGCGAGGCGCCCCAAATATTAATATCTCAATGAGCTAAAGCAGTTCACGCACCCGGTTTCCCCAAAACAGCCCGTACCTCACTGCCACGTTGGAAAACATCCCTGTCGTTTGCGGCTGGAAGTGGTGGTTCCAGACTACGGTCGAACTGACCAACTCCCTTGCCCGAGAGAGACTTCCGAATATCAAGTTTACCATGAACCGGGGCACCCGGCAGCGCAGGCCGGATGTCGGGGCCCTGAACTCTCGCCATCCCCCTACTTCTACCCGCGTCCTTAAGCCCACGTTTCTTCTCCCCCTAACTTCGTGCCCTATCCGGTTTAGTGCCCTGGCCGCTCTCCGAAAAATCGGCAACAACCCATGCCCCAGGGCCAATTCCGTTCCCAACATTTGCCACCCGGTCTCAGGGAGGTACAGAGTCCTGGTCACCCTGAGGTCGGTATACAGATCGTCCCCTGGCCCCCTGTTAAATCTCATCCCACTCCACGGGCATTCCACCAACATGAAGGCCTGGTTTTGCCCCAAGATCACAGCTCGCCATTCCACATTTGTTCCCCGGACCTCGTTGCTCGCCGGGAGCGACACTTCCCATCCTTTGCCGATTTCCAAGGACGGTCGCGGGTGCGCGGGTCGCTGCGCCGTACGGACGTGTCTCCTTGCCATTGCCCTGCAAGTTTCCCACACAGAAAAATAAGAAAAAAATCTCTCTTTTTATTTTCCCCATATCCTCCCCCCTGTTATCACAGCTACGTTCTAGTTTCCCACCAATCTCTCCCTATTTTCCCTTCCTCCTTTCCTGCGCCCCTATTCGTCCACCTCCTCGAATAGCCGGTAGACATCATCCACATAGGTCAAGCCGCAACCTATCTCGCGCCTAACCACCTCCCACAAAACTTCCTCAGCTATCGTGGGCACTCCTCGCCTGGTCGCTATGATAACATGTAGGATTCTCAACACCTCATATTCCTGGTCTCCTTCAAAAGGGCCCAGCTCTAAGAAGGCTCGGTAATACTCTTGGCACACCGTCATGTCGTTAAAGCTTAGCCTAGTCAACACGACCACCGCCAGCTCAACGCGCCCCATTTTGTGGGGCAAGATACAGGCCCCCACTTCGAGCACCCGAACGGTTGCCGTCACGTCGTCTCGCTCCAGATCCGCGAATGCGAACCCTTCCCTCCGGGTTACTTGCCACGCCCCGTCAAACATCTGCACGGGGTCACCGTCGTCGGCCAAGGCCAACCCAAACGTTCGCCACCCCTCTTTCGATAGGTGCAATGATCGTGTGGCGTGCACGCGCCCTGGCAGGTCCAGGCTTATACCCCCAAATTCCCCCCTCGCGCGCCACTCTAGTTCCACCACCAGGTATACTGTATCTTCTGCTAGCTCCACCCCCACCCAATCCATCACAAGGTTGTACACCCCACCCCTGGTCGGCATGGTAACTTCCACCCTTCCCTCCATGAGTCGCGGCGGCTGGATCCTGCGCGGTAGCTCCTCCTAGAGTGTCCTTCGTCCAGCCATGTCGCGCCGCCTCCTGCTCCTGCCTCCTAACGGCTGCATCCATCACGATTTCACGTTTCTCTTTTTAGTCCTAGAACCCCCTCCCTCGCCCCTCAGTTGCGACTGCGCTATCCGTCTCCCTTATGCGCTCATGTCCCTTTTTACGACACCCCCTAGGCTTACACTTACACCCAGACCCGTTCAAACAGCAGAAAAACATCTCCTACATACGAAGGCGCCGTGCCTACCTCTCGGCGGAGTATCGCCTTCTCGACCTCATCCTCTATCTCGAGCCAGTCGTCCCTAAGGGCCTTCAGGATTTCGACCACTTCTTTGGCGCGATCCTCGTAGAAGGGTCCTAGTCGTAGCGAGGTCCTGTAGTAGGCGTCCGCTAGCCAGGTGAACCCCAGATCCACCTCACTCGATGATTCCGCGACCGCTCGGATGTGTTCGTACCCTCCGAACCAAATTGCCACGAAGTGCGGGACCCCGGTCTGAACCAGCTGATACGGTAACCTAAGCTCCTCCCATCCTCCCAGCACGACCCTCCTCCTTACTTCATCCCATCCTTCATTCGTGAATTCGCGGCCCATTTCCCAGGTCAATCGCTCGGCCTCCCCTAAGATCCATGTCGGGTCCCACCCGGCAGCTAGGCATACACAAAACAGATGTCACCCCTCCTTTGACAAGTACACGGTCCCGAGTGACTCCACCTTCCCCTCAGCTATCTCATCCCACGCCTCGCTTCCCCTGACCGGGTTCCATACTCTCTCTACCCATAGAAAGGACAAGGCGGTTACGACTTCTACCCCTACCTAGTCACAGGCCGCCCCTCTCCATTCGTTTCTCGTGGGTAGGACCATCTCCACCTCTTCCCCGAACCACCTAGGTGTCCATCCTCTAAACATCTGTTCCATCATGCTTTGCTCCCTTGCCATCCTTGATCCCCTGCACAGCCCCAATCCACCCATGCCATACAGCCCTGACCCCCTTTCTTTTAGAAATCCCAATCCTCAATCTTTATCCCCTCTTCCTCATCCGAGTCGTCTTCGTCCTCCTCATACCACAGGTCGTGTACCCCTTCCAAAAATGTCTCCCCTATTGCGAAACTCCTATATACTAGCTTCCAATGCACGTCGCTCGGGACGAACAGGCCATCCGTACTAAGATGGTTCAGTATCGTGGCCAGCTCAGACGGAAAGAGTACTGGCGGGTCCTTTGGTATAGTCCCAGGCTTGCCATGGATCTGCATATCCGCACCAGCCTACTCCGGGTGCTGAAGACGGCATCTACCATGAAGAGGTCCATCACCATTTCCACCCGCTGGCACGCAGCCCACACCACTTCCCGCTCGGCGTCCTTGAACAATTTGTTCGGGAGTACTCCTAAGGCAAGCTCTATAATCATGGCGTTTTTCTTTTCCTTAGACAAGTAGACCCATCCCCGGGCCTCCGCGGTCCCCCAAAACTCTAAGTCCAGTAGGCTTGGCGCTAACCTTGTCAAACTAACCCTGGTCCACATTGTTTCGATCCATAGGAAAGGTATCACTCTCAACCAGCATCACAGTTTGGTATGCCAGCTCCACGTCCGTCCAAGTTCCTTCCTCCGGCATTACAACCGACACCCCACCCTTCACGTCTACCGGCATCTCTGGTCCGCCGGAGTAGGTTGGCGAGGATAACCACCGTGCCATCTTGTCCTTCCCCAGTTGCCGAGTCCTGTTTTTTTTAAAAGAGAGCACCAATTGGCCCTCGGTTAGGTCAGCCGTAGTCCTAGATGAGAATTGTTTTAGACCCCTCATCAAGGTCTCCCTAAATTCTACCTTTGCCCATTTCCCAAGCACCGTTGCCCCGTCGTACCCAAAATCGGTCACCATCCGCCAACATTCCTTCTCTTAGTTCCTTTCCTTTCGACTCCTATCCTTGCTCTTTTCCTTCCTCTCTCACTCGTGCGGACTCAGATAGGAGCCGGGAATAGACTCAGAAGCTCCTCACCGACCCTATCCCATAGTGGTCTCTCCACTGTTACTTTCGGCAGAGTTTTATCCCGTACCTCAAGCGCAACTCAACCGTCGCGATCGTGGTACCCAGACTCTAGTGGGGGGTCACCCTCACCTTGTTGCCCAGAATACCCCATCCCGTATTGCCGCTCTCGCACACCCTCGTTGGCACCGGGAATCACCCCGCATACCCCGGTAGGGACAAAAGTCAGTCGTCTGGGCATTCACATTCATTGGTCCGATAAGAATCAGCCTTTACCGCCGTACCGCAAGAGGCTACTAATCGCCTCCGGAGATCCCTCCGGGCCCCACATGCAATGCCCCCCCCCGCCCGTCAACAGGCCAGGCCCCGCCTGAGGAGACGTTTCGCACCCTGCCTGGACAAGGCGCCGAGCCAAGCTCGGGCCCACCATAGGCGAGAATGCTACTAATTAACCGGCGTGCCAACACCCGCCCAACGGTTCGGTGGCGTGACCTTGCACATGAAAGCCCGACAGCCTACCCGAAGAAAACGACGTTTCACAACCCGGACCAGCCGGTGCAGACCCACCCTTTCCTTCCGAAATGGCAGAACACTCAGTTCCCCATTCATGCAGACCATAAGTCCCAAGTAGGACACATACAATACAAGTGCATTTCCCATAGTGCTCCCAACGCTTCCTACCCCTGCCTCACGCTTTTCTCTCGGGACCGTGTGTGCCACTCACCCCTAGTATCCATACATCGTGCCCGGTTCCTTTTCGTGAGCATCTTCAAAGGTGAGCTAGTTTTCTTGGAGTCTAGCAACTCCCTTCATTCCCCTCATCTTCACTTGTGTGTCCTTTCATAGGGCGGGATTGTTCCTTCTCGATTACCATTTTGTTCATATGAGGTTCCTTCAAGCATTTCAAGTGAAAGTGCAAGGAGCCCGCTGGGCTCAGAAGAAGAGAGACGAAGGCACCCATGTCGGTCGGATCACTCCGCCGCGGGATTTTCATTGGAACCTGGCCTAGGCCGAGCACCAACCGCCTGCCAGGTAACTGGAGCCCTTTTTGCACACGAAGAGGAAGAGTCGACCTGCGGCTTGCCTAAGGCTTCCCCGGACTGGTGAACACCAACGCCGGAAGAAGGAGGACTAGAGTCACCCCACGAGGCGGTGGCTAAATAAGTGCACATCACACATGTTATTCCTCCAGGCCTGGCCTTGCCATGCGCCCAGCCGCCCTCAAATCTGATTCTCTCAAGGGAATAGAGCATACACAAGTCCTCGTTCCTTCTCTTTATGTTTGCGCACATGCGTTGGGCGCCCCCCTCGAGATCGTATGGGTCAGTTTAACCCATACCCGTCATCTCCACCATTTTTGTCGGGCCTAACCTCGGTAGACTTTCGAGCCTTTTGTCGACCCAACTGCGGGTCCCATTTGGCTCGACCCGCCCACGCTCAAGCTCAGGGCGCAGGTCATTCGTCCCAGGGCCACCCCCACCTAGTGCTTTGGTATGGATGGGGATGGGCTAATAGGGCGAGAGAGCTTAACATTGGGGATGTAGCTCATCCCTTGCATTGGGTGGTAGCCTCGCTGGTCAGCTGTCGCAAACGTAGATTCTCGATTCCCCGTTGTGTTCACAAGCAATTGCTCCTTCCAATACTCAGGCAGTCCAGGGGGTTTATTGGAGATTTCTCTTCTTTTCGTGCGTAGGGCTAAGCGTCATCCTTAGGCCACACACCATTTCCCTAACGTCACGACATACTTCCGACATCATCGGGGCGCGGCTATGCCGTCTTTCCCCTAAGCTGCTACCATTTCCTTTGTCTAGCCCACGCATTCCATTCACGATACCATTGCGACCCTTAGTCTTTTCGGGTGTCCATTTTGCACGCAACAACCAAGGCACACTCATACCATACGAAGCCATGCCCCTCTCTTCCCTTCCCTTTGCTTCCCTTTGGTCCTCCTCTAGTTTGCTTATCCTCATCCCAATCCCGCTCAAGTCATTCCAAGCTACTCACCTGCACAATTCCCACACAAGCAAGGAACAACATCCATTCCTCCCCATTGGGGTCAACGCATCGCCCTTACCGCAAGCCTAAGTCCTTTCCTCTTCCATGGTTCTTTCACCCTTCTCCTTTCTTCCCGCAGTCAAGCCATGCTCTTCCCTTAGTCATGCGGTCGGGGAAACGGTTGAGTCAACGGACCTTGCACAAAACTTGCACTTGTCTTCACTTTTCTTTTCAACGATTCCGCATTTCCAAGTTCACAAGTCTTTCACTTTGCTCCTTCTTGGTGGGGCAAGGGACCGGCTGCCCTCCCCTTGCCCTCTTTCTCCACCAAGTGAGGCTGCCTCTTTTCACCGTTCGCCCCCTAGCAATGTAACAAGTGAGGGTGGCGGTTAGTCACGTGTCAAGAGCAAAAGACGGGGAGGGAAAAGGTGAGGTTACTTGGGGTGCCCGGGAAGGGGGACGTTGATGAAAGGAGAAGCGGCGGACGAAGAGAAGGTACAAGGGAGGAGAGAGAGAGCGAGAGCGAGAGAGAGAGAGAGAGAGAGAGAGAGAGAGAGAGAGGGAGAGAGAGAGAGAGAGAGAGAGGGGGGGGGAGGAGAAAGAGAAAGCGACCCCTAGGCCTAATCAAACTCACTTCTTAATCGCCCGCCTACCCTACCCAAGACGCCTCATGCCCCTTAGTCGCCCTACTTGAGCATGATACACGGGTACTGGAAGAAGACGGGGGAGGGAGAAGGTACAAGGTGCCTGGCTATGGAGGGTGGGTGAAGGAGACGAAGGAGGGAGGAGGCGCAAGAGGTCCGGCTGTGGTGGATGGGTGAAGGAGAAGGAGGAAGGAGAAGGTGGAAGGTGCTTGGCTATGGTGGATGGGTGAAGAAGATGGACGAGGAAGAAGGTAGAAGGTGCTTGGCTATGGTGGATGGATGTGGGAGATGGAGGAGGAAGAAGGTGTGGGGTGCTTTGCTATGGTGGACGAGTGAGGGAGATGGAGGAGGAAGAAGGTGGGAGGTGCTTGGCTATGGTGGGCGGGTGTGGGAGATGGAGGAAGAAGAAGGTGTGGGATGCTTGGCTATGGTGGACGGGTGTGGGAGATGGAGGAGGAAGAAGGTGGGAGGTGCTTGGCTATGTGGGAGATGGAGGAGGAGGGAGGTGGGAGGTGTTTGGCTATGGTGGACAGGTGTGGGAGATGG